GTCTCTTATGCAAGCTGGGGCCAAAGGTTTTGCTTCAGGCATGGCACCGGGCCAGGCCCCGTCCAGCCTCTCTCTTCAGGTGCCTGTGGCACTTGCGTTATGTCTTTTCTCCAGTTAGAGAAATGTAACTTACTCATAAACCACATTTAATGCTCTTCTTGTTTTTTTGCCAGGAATGAGTACAAATACTTCCAGAGAATGACTACCACAACCCATGTGGAAGGTAACGTTGTGCTTCTTGTTGTCGTGTGCCCCTACTGACTAAATTCAGTTTGTGTGGTCTCAGTCATGGGAAAGACTGGTAATTTTCCTTTTTTCCTGACTTAAAAGTCCTGTTTCTGCAAGCAGCCTGCCCTTCCTCACCCTCCCAAGCCTCACAAGTATTTTGCCCCTTTTTAAATACATCATCTGCAGATTGTTTCAATTAGATAAAGAAACTGGAGGTGAATCAGATAGTTTTGGGCTGCAGGTGGTTTGTAAGTAAAAAGAATTTCCAAGGCCTGTTTCCCCAACAGTAGAAAACATCCCCTGCCTCTCTTCACCTACAACTCCAACCTTGAACAAGTTAAAACTGGAAAGGTTTTTGTATGCTGATTAATTACCAGAAGGTTTTTTTCAGGCGGTATTAGCTTATCTAACTTGTTTGCTGTAGCTCAGCCTTGGCCATTTGTTCTACCCCTCTGACCCTTGTGATGGTCATTTTGCTTGATTTTCTGACTGCTGAGCTATTCCAACACACCAGAAAACCGTAACTGTACTGGTAATATGCAGCAACAGTACTGCAGCCATGTGCAGCGTGTCTGTACACAGTCGTATACAACCATACTGGCAATATGCAGCAGTAATGTTCAGGCCCAGCAAGACCTTTGCAGCAAAGTAATGTTATAGACTCTATTGATTTGATGAGATAAAAACAGTTACTGCGGGGTGAAAAAAATGTGAAATCAGCACAAAAAAAACAGGGATAGGAATGCAAAAATTGAAAACAGCTTATTTCTTCTGTCTGGGTACTTATGGCAGCCAGAATAGACAAGTCTTGCCACATTGCCCCCATTCCTCTTTCACATTGGCTTTAGGACTTGTCTGACATTTTCGTAAGCTGTTTTAATTCTCTGACCCAGTAGACCTGGCTAGTAGGTGTCTGCAGGGACTGCCAGTACAAGGGGTATGGTAGGAGCAGGAGGCAACACTGGGAGAGGAGGAATAGGACCTCCCTGAGCCATGCAACTGGCTCAGTGCATCTGTTAAAATTAGAGCTATCGGAGACAACAGGTTTATTCTCACATTGCTGCTGCTTCTCTGTTTGCCTACGTGGTCACTCTCCTTCCCATGTGTTTTTTTCATCCTCCTGTTAAAACTGCTGTCTAGCAAAACTCCCCTGTTTGCCCAGTCTTCTGGGCAGCCTAACATGTGCCCTTGTTTTGATTGAGTGACCTATTCAATATTCTGGTTTGAAAGTCTGTTGCATATTCCGCAAAGAATGTTTAATCTCATTTTGCAACAGTCTTAAGTGAAGGATTTTACTTCTGTTTTGGAGACCTGATGCAGCCCATTGCAAGCTTATGTACAAAAAAGACAGAACACAATTGTAAGTGTCTTTATATGTCTGCAATTTGCATCTTATGTGGCACAAATAACGCATAATCACAAAAATATGTTTTAAATCTAATTAAAAGGAAAAATTTTGCACCATGCTGCCCGCAAATCTTTAGATAAGCTATGACCTTAGATGCTAGGCAGGTAAGTTGCTTCATAACCAGACCTCTTAACACTTTATGCTGCCATAAATCTTCACAGTAGGGATAACACCATTGGCTCAGAAAAGGTAAGAGAGTCACTGATTTTTGAAGTGGGAAGAATACAGTGGAGAAGCATCACCTGATCTTGCTTTTAGTCTGCTTGCATACCTGCACTGGCCACTGCTGTAAATTAGCTATTGGTCTAGACAAATCTTTGTTCTGACCCCATAGGCATCCCACTGTGAATCTTTAGTAAGAAGACATGTATTTTTCAGAACTTGTGGATTTCCTTTAGCAGTGGTGCCAGTGGGCTGTGCTAACTTATCTAAATTGACACTGCAGTATGTATCTTGGAAACTTGCTCATGAAGCTTATCTACAGGAGAAGGGTCTTTAGACACTGCCAGTAAACAACTGGAGCATTGGTTCTCTGGTGCGGTCTAGTACATGCAGCCTCTTTCAGATCGAGAAGCCAGGCGGATAGCTGGGAACAAATACTGTCTTCTCTAAAATCTGTCCTGCTGTGTAAGACTGTAAAAAACTTCCTGTTACCTTTTGTGAGTCTCAACCTCTGCATTTATTTCTCTGACATTTCTATTTGCTCATAAAAAGAAACCTCTTCTTAGCAGGGCATATATAGGAGATAATCAGGTTATGAGTGTTTGAGTTTGGTCAGAAATGATACTTACAGGTGAATTCTAGAATATGATTGAACATCTGTTGCACTTCTGCTTTAGATTTAATTTGTCTAGTTCTTCTAAAAGTTATCCTTTTACCTGGCTTTTTTTTTTTTTTAATAACACTCAAGGGTGGCAGTTATTCCTGATCATATGACTGGAATGACGGAACATGCAAACACAGAGTTGATTATTGTATGCTGCTTGAATTTGTAAAGAGGACAACAATGCTTTTTCACACTAAGAGGACTCTTTTGAAGGTGTGAGTTGGTCTCACACGTGAAGATTAATTTGGTCCTGTAAATATAGCAGAGCCAATGTCCATGTAATGCATGAAATGGGCAGTGACGTGCCTTTTTAAATTTTCTTTCAATTATAAGTTTATAGGTGTGCATGAAACTGCATTGGTGTCAACTGCCTGACAAGGCTTTGAGGCCACAAATGTGTTCTGTGTATGTGACTTCAATTTGAGAATCAGGGCCTAATCTCGTACTTCTGTTAACTGCTGAAATGGAGTTCTAAAGGGGGAGGGAAAGTCCATCAGTGTCACTAAATGACCAAAACAAATTTGGTACAGAGTACCCTTTAAGTAAGTGTTTTCTCTTTTACTCAGGTAAACAGAATGCAGTGATAATGGGTAGAAAAACCTGGTTCTCCATTCCTGAGAAGAATCGTCCTTTAAAAGGCAGAATTAATATAGTGCTTAGCACGGAGCTCAAGTATGTATGGTGAATAATAGGCCTGTAAAACAAAATAAAAGGCTGCACCTAAAAATGTGTATAGCGATACATCCTAAAGTCATTCTAAATGCAACATTTTTGATCTCTGCTATTGGTTCTGAGTGATATCACTACTTTAGTTTTTTAATTGTTATTTCTTTTACTTTATAATTAAATCACAAGATAATTGTCATTACTTTGCGTAATAAATACTAATCCTGCCTCTACACACAAACCATCTAGCAATTATCAGTAGTCTTTCAGACACATGTATTTAACTGTATTTCTCTAGTTCCTGGTTGGATAGGTGGCTCTTCTTCTGTTTTTTGAAGTTTTATTTTTATGAACATTCAAGGAAAAAGACCGGTCATTTTTCGGAACTCCCTTCTTGAATGCATCACCCACAGTCATCCAAGTATTCTTGACCAAAAATATCCACTTATAATAGTTGATCACTTTGGAGGATGTTGGTGGGTTTGGGGCTAAATATCAGGGGTGGGAGGATAGGGGCTTTTTGTTTACTTGTATTGAATGAAATTCTAATGTTCTAGGATTCAAGTAGAAATCTGTATTTAATTTTATAGATGTCTAGATTTCTCAGTTATGCTTTTTTAAAAACATGATATAAAATTTCGGATCAGTAATTTATAAAACCTCATAAGTCATTTATGATTAAACGGTGGTTTATTAAACAATCCTGCAGTCAGATGAGAATTCTAACATCTAACAGTGTATCAATGATTACTAATGTGAAACATTTAGTCATTTTTTAATTCGGCGAAACACATTGTATGTCTAGATTGTATTGATTATCATGATGAATGGTCCTTTAACTATTTAGTAATAAAACTAGGCTTTTTCTAGGGAAACCCCGAAAGGAGCACATTACCTTTCCAAAAGTCTGGATGATGCTTTAGCTCTTTTGGATTCGCCAGAGTTAAAAAGTAAAGTAGACATGGTTTGGATCGTTGGAGGCGCTTCAGTTTACAAGGTATGTTTAGAGTGCTCCTAAATTACTCATTTTGTGCAATGGGATGAGAATGGCTTAAGTTCCTATTACTTACACTTTAGGAAGTGCCTTTCCTTCATGTGACCCAGCAAACTCCAGTGATTCCAACAGAACAAGTCTTGGAGAGTAAAATTTCAACTTGCAAGTTTAAAATATCTTTACAAGTAACCAAATGTTGCTCTTGCTAATGGTGTAGTGTCATATAGTCATTGTGCCTTTGAGACCTTTTCTTAAGTACCTAGATTGTTAGATTTTTACACCAAGACCCATATTGTTATGTTTATTTCACTGAGGTAGTAGACTGACTCTGCAGAGGATATGGGGAAAAAGGAAAAATGATTCAGCATTTTTTAGCCAGAGCATGACAGATACTTTATACAGGTAAGAAAAGAGGATTTAGAGGGAGATGGCAGGTGATGGTGTCAGCAATAAAAGCAAATAATCATACAACAAAACATAGAACTGACTCTGTTTTCCCATCCAGCAACCAGGTGTCCATACTGTTCCCACTCCCCAGGTTTCTCTTGGTGTCTAGAGTGTCTTGGTATTCAGGTGTCTGTTCAAGTGCCAAAAAGGTAGCGTGTGTCACTTTTTTCTTAGGACCATCTTTGCACAGGCAAAGCCCTGTATGAACTGCCCTGTTTTCCCACAAATGCAATGGTCTTCCTGTCCTCAAGTAAGATACTGGCTGTGCAACGTGAAGGTCTGGAGTAAAACCTATTTTCTTGCTGCCCTGTGTTTTCTCAGACATCTTTCTCCCTTCCCCCAAACCCTTCCTCTCATCATCATTTTATACATATGTAAAGTTTAGTTAACTCTCCATGCCTCCACTTGCATCCCTAGGGTCAGCCTTTCGGCCCCTAACATTCAGGGTTCTGCCCTTTAACTCCCAATTTATTTTGTCTTCTTTTGTTAAGTGCTTGTATTTATTGTCAAACAGTACCACAGAAAAGATTATGGCCATCAACCCTAGTCCCTTTCATGTCAATCGGGAGAATATGGAACAAGGACAACAATAAGCATTCTTTCATCTGAGAAAAAAATCTTAATTAAGAATTATAAAGCAATTTTTTTTATAGTAAAGGAAAAACAATTCTGTTCTTTAGTCATTACAAGTATGCTGGGAAATATACTCCACTTCTTGTTTGGCAGTTGAACTTCAGGTATATGATGAAAATGCCCTCATGCTCTTGGTAGCAAATTAGGGCTGATAATATGCTTTGTATATGGGGTGGGAAAGTACATGTTCTGATATTGCCTTTGCAGCGTGTGTCTTTCATGAATGTCTTCTCTGTGTCTTAGGAAATGCATCTCTTACAGTAAATAAAGGGAAGTAGTTTGATATTGCTAAGGTTGTAGGAAAAATAAGATGCATATGCAAATAACCTGTAAAACACTGTTGTTCCTCTATCTTTTTTTTTTTAAACTTATGTTTTATAATCACTTTTGTGTGGGGTGAAGTCCACCACGTATTTGGTATTCAAATGCTTTCAGTCTGTAATCAAGTATTACAGAAGTAACCTGTCCTTTACACTCAGACGTTAAAATGCCTGCTTCCAGGCTTCCGGGCGGTAAAGAGCAAGTTTAGTTCTGCGACAGTCTTTACGTTGGGCATGACTGCCCAACGTGAGCAAGAGGCTAGACTAGGCTTCTGCCTGTAATTCTGCAGGATGCATAGTGTGAGCAAAAGCATTTATCCCTTCTGTGCAATGGCCGCATACTCATTTAGTGCTGCGAAGAGTGATTATCCTTGCATATTCCTCCAGGAGTGTCTGTGTTGTAGACTTCTAATTTTAGCTGTTTTTCCAATGTCTGTCTGATATCTTGTAGAAAACAATGCAATTTTTTAGACTATTACTCGCCAATACTTAGATTATAAAAAGACAGTTTTGATTGAGAGTACTTTTGCAACATATTACTTGTGCTGATCAGTGTAAGGAAATATCACATAATATTTCAACTGGTTTTCCCCTTTCAAGCATCTACTCAGCATGTTTCGAAGGAATTTGTAGTTCATTAGGGAGAAAGCTGACAGTTTTATACAGATTCCTGCATTCAAACTAGCTTAGTGATCTTAATTTAAAAGGTTTGATGGAAACCATACACCTCTACCAAAACTGCAAGTAATATTTTTAGTGCCTGAATTAAAGATTTGCAAAGGATTACAGGAATATTTCCATTATTCCATGTAGAAATATTTGGGAAGTAAAACAGCAATTGGTAATTGAAGTGAATAATTTTATTCAGTAGTTATAGGTATTTGCTTTTAAAGCATTATTTTGGTTTTACTATGTTGTACGGCTCAAAAGTTTAGAGCTGTTTGTGTTTATTAGTGCAAGCCTGTAATGGAGAAAGCGTCTGTAACTACTTCAGCAGGTAAGTGCAACAGGAGTGGTTTGAAACAGGTAGTGCTAAGGACCTGACGTTGCCTCTTTTAGTACATTAGGGAGTTTAACTGAAAGTTCAAATCTTTCAAACCGGATAGAGCTTTATGAGGACAGACCTTGATGAGGAGAGCGGGCCACTCGAGAAAGCACCATACTTTTCTTTTCATTTTCCTCCTGCAGATGATGGTCCCAACCGCCATCAACCATTTTCTATTCCTGATCTTGTACCTGGCTCCTCCTACTCATTTACAAGTAGCACTACTGTGCCTGCTCAGTAAATTCTCTTCTGCATCTAAGCATAGCCATACAACAGTGCAGCAGAGAGTTGTTTTGCACCAGGAGGAGCTAGTCCATTGTGATCTCAGTAAGAAGGGCACCCAGGCTCTGTAAAGTGTCATTTAAAATACTGCTAATTAGAGCTAACACTTTAAAGAAGGACAGAATAGTGTAAGTAATCTTGCATCCTCATGGATGCTGAGAACTCCCAAGTTGTGTGGCATTGAATGAGCATGCTGCGCAGAGCCTGTTTTGGTCATTCAAGCTGTTAGACAACTTTCTTACAAGAAAACAAATCTATTCATAATTTCTGCTGTCAAACAGAAAGGATGTTTACATGAGAACTTGCTGTTCTTTTAGATAAAAGCAAGGACATGCAGGTGGTATAGTCATTGGTACCAAGTGGGAGCTGCCTGCAGCCTCCTGTGTTACAGTCTTCTGTCTGAGCTTATCCTGTGGCCAAGGACTTTATGCAGCACAGTACAGGGCTGGGTCTCTTCAGGTTGATTGTTATATAGATTGCTAACTCCTTAATGTACAGTGACTGTCTTTCAGTCAGGATCACTACAAAAGGGGACAGTAATCTCACACATGCACCCAGTGCACACGCTTCAGGAGGGCTGCTTTGACAGCCTGTCACAGGCTGTTGTGGATGTCTTAAAGGCTGAGCTTGAAGATGTGGGGATAACAGCTTTGTTGGAGTCTTCACTGTAGCTGCTCTGCCTTGGTTGGTCTGTGTCTCTTGGAACAGGGACTGAGCTCAGGCTGGTGGCATCCCATTGGTATGGGGATCCTGGAGAATAAAAAGTAGATGCAGAAGGTATTGCATGTGAGGGTGCACAACTGAGGCCATCTGCCAACAGCTACTACAATAGCTTTGCCATTGACAACACTTCCAGAGTCCATATCATTATTCAAGAGAGTGGCTTACTGTCCTGTGGAGCATTTTAGCACCAGCTCCTAACCTTAGCAACTTCTGATCAGTTAATCAGTTTGGGATGGGGAGGTCTGCCATTATCAGGGTTGTTGTCACTGAGCTCCCTGGAGCAATCCTTCAAACCATACTTCCGTAGGTGGTGTGAGGAGGGAACATGCTCATGGTCTTCCAGGCTTTTGCTCTCTTTGGTTTCCCACACCCTTTTTGGGTGCTGTGGGCAGCACGCACATCTCAGCTAGGTTCTAGACCCAGAGTAGCAAGCCAAAAGGGTTACCAAGGGTGGCCCATGAACTGAGACAGATTCATACATGTTTCAGGAGGTTTCCAAAGAACCTCAGACTGAAAAGGGATGCTTGCACCTTCTCTCTGCAGAGGCTCATGCAAGATGTTTGAACAGCTACCTTACCTGAAATAGTGTCTCTTCTGTGCTTCATGCTGCCCTGCCCAGACACCATGCTGAAACACGAGCCTGACACACAAGCCTGGCTTATCCAGAGAGTTATGCTGAGGTGGAGTATCTACCCAGATGTCTGAGCGCAGAAGGGCAGTCTTTGTGACACAGGTGTCCAGCCTGTCTCGCAATCTCAAGTACAGATGGCTGTTGTGCCCTGCTCAGCCTCTAAGAACAGAGGCAAGCAAAGGTGCTAGAGCATGCACTCCAGGATGGCATTTCAGGGCAGGGTGCTGCCCTTAGCAACAGAGAGGCAAGGGATGGAACGGAGGCAAGGGACTGCTACTGTTTACAGCCTCTTTCTCCTAGGGCTGTAGAGGAGACAGGAGCAAGCCTGACAGTCTCTGAACATTTATAAGGACACAGTGCAGCTGCCTGTTTTTTATGGCCATCTTCCCCACTGCTCCTAGGTTCTCAAGGACACAGTTCTCTCCAGGGTGGTGGGAGCGTTGGCATAAGCTCACATCTGCATCAAGTCCTGTGAAGAATAGAGGAAGGTGAGCTCTGAACAGGGTGGCCATCCAGGACGTCACATAGGTTACGTTAGTGCTGTGTTCAGCAGCATACTCTGGAAACTGTCTCTTCTTGACCTCTGCAACAGGAAAAGGCAGAGCTGAGTAGAGTATTGGTATTAGGAAGGGAGAGCAGAAACGATTGAAAACAGCTCCCGTAGTCCACTGGGTGTTCAAAACCTGATGCAGCCTTCATCTTTTTAAGTTTGACATGACATTGATCACCTCATCAAGTTTGTAATCTTCTGATAGAGCCGCAAGGTAGTGCTGTTGCCTCCATGTAAGTTTTTGGACTTCTTACAGCACAGGTTTACAAGTTTCATTTCTTTGGATCTCAGTGTGATGCTGTACTGGATAATCTGCACTTTTCTGGGTCTTCTGAGTTCCAGAAGGAGTTGATGTTGCTTTTGACTGTATGGATGTGGAAGGAAGAGTGTAGCAGCCCAGCGGTGGCCAGTAGGTCACAGCAATTACGAAGCCGCTATGTATCATGAGAGGCACTCCATGATTTTGCATGAGCACTTGATGTTTTGCAAGCCATCTGCTGGCTCATGAGTGCTTGTTGTGTGCAGGAAAACTTATGGTCGTAACTCACTCAGTGGTTCTGGCCCTTGAGTCCCTGTTAGCCCTTGGAGCTTAGCAGACATGTTCTGGGAGCAGGTTTTCTGGCTTGGTTTCATCCTCCAAAAATTTAATTTGCCCACACCAAAATTCCTCCCCTGTACAAATAAAGCATGGTGGTTGGGGGCAACTGGAAGTTTCATTTCAAAACCATGTTTCTGTTCTGAGTTAAGACACTAATGTAGATGCACTCTGCGTGGAGGTATTGTCTCTTAATTGAGCAGTTACAGTCTTGGCTTTAAGTGAAAAATAGTGCTGCCTTGAGATCCTAAGGGAGTCTGGTCACTATAAATTACATCAGTGTCTCTTAACTGGATTTAAACTGTGTGTCTTAAAGTGATTAAAAACAACATTCAGATTTTACTAGGAATAGAATCTATACATCCAGCACATCCCCAAATATTAAACAGGGACTTTTAAAAAAAGAAAACAAAACAAAACAAAACAAAAACAGATGTAGCTTTACTTATGTGGATGATATGGTCTTATGCTGTGTTTTTGGTGGAGTATTTAGTATAAATCTTGCTTTGTAAAAATAACCAGGCACAAGTCCCTAACAGTGAACCTACCAGTGGAAGAAAAAAAAAAAAACAAACAAACAAAAAAAAAAAACTAGTAAAAAAAACTTAAAAAGAAAGAAAAAAGAATTGAAAAATTTATGACTCAGGTCTTCATAACCAAGGCCTTTTTAGTAAAACCAAAACAGGCTATATGTCAAACAGGTTTTCACCTTGATAAAACAGTTTTTCCTACGGCATCTTGAACATTTAAAATTGTCTCTTCTAATTTACGTGTTCCTACTGAGTTTGTTGCTTTCTCAATGCCGCAGAAGCAAACAATGACACTCAAGGTCACATTGCTGAAGTACAGAATTGTATTCATGTATTAAATTTGGAGAACAAACTTGTAATTTCATAACAGAACGAAAAGTTCTTTCATAAGAAGTTTTGTTGGTTTTGCTGTTTAGTTAGTATCTAGGCTGGCCATAACAGAAAATAGATCCTGGTGATAAATTGTGTTTGGGGAAATTCTTCAACAAAGAGGCTTGAGCTGGAAAATTAAATTCCCAGTGATCTCCAAGGGAAAACTGTATTCATGCTCAGGTGTCTTCTTATGTATTAGTATTTGACATATGGTGTTTGGTAATCTACCCCCTTTCATTCTTCAAACTCATTGAATTATGAAGTTGCTATTCATATTTGGTGCAGCAAGTCTCTTGCAGATGATTAATTACCCTCTTAAATAGTTTCTTGGCTAAGCATATAAGCTTCACTGGGTTCTGAACGTCCTGAGTGGGTTGTAATGCCACATATGCTAAAGCTTCAAATCTTTGCTGTACCATAAGGATCGCTTCTTTAAAAGAGAGAAGTATTAACAATTTGAGTCACTAGTGATTTTTTTCAAGCCTGCCAAAACTTTACTAGCTAATACACTAAAACATACATTTTAAAGGTTACGTTTAGTATCTCTGAATTTCCTGTAAACTATAAAAGAAATAACAGCAATTTTTCTACATTCCCTCTGTATAAGATAAAGCAGTTTTTATTTCATACTTATTGGAATAGAGACTAATGTGTATGTTACCATGTTTTTGAAGTGTTGCATTCAGTCTGAGATCCACTTACAAGGGAATTGTTCATTAGAGTAAATATGCATAATGTATATTTCCTTGATTAAAATCAGAGTTAAGTATGTCAACATTCTATCAAATCAGCACTATGCATCCTCTAACTTGTCTTCTGTACCAAAAAAAGTGGTGAAATAGAGTGGAATGGACAGGACAAGAGTGAACTGAATGTCAGTGAAGAACTACCTGAATCCTCATACAAACGCCAGAGTTGTGAAAAAGTGCCTTCCCATCCTGCCAGGTCCAAACCAGTAGTTTGCAGAGGTGGTCGGAGTCCAGTCCTCTCTGGACAGGTTCCTCTAGAGACTCCACATGTGGAAGGTTTGGTGTTTGATACAAAATTTATTGATCTAGAGTTTTCCAAAGTTACTGTCAGGGAACATGAAGGACCAGGTGCTCCCAAAGGGACAGGACTGTGGGCAATAACATGACTGACATGGGCCTCACCAGGCAGGGCTCATGGTGATGAGGCAGGTCTACAAGGCAGGATCAGACCCTATGAAGGTAGCCAGAGTCAGACATAGCTCTGGGAGGACTAGATGTGACCGTGGAGACAGGCCAAAGCCAGGTCCAGGATGTCAGCCCATGATGGGATTCAACTTAAATCGCAATACAAGTGAAACTTACACTTAGCAGAGTAACTTAAATATAAAGTCAAATCACTTTACAAACGTGTTTCTCCTTCTTCTCATCACTGTACCATGTTCACTGTCATGACGGTAGGCATTCCAGGGTACTGAGAAGGAATGTGTGTGTTGAAACCAGCTCAAGCGTGTTGCTCTTCTCCAAGTTCTTTTTGTTTCTTGTTTAGTATTTGTGTGCCACATACACACACAGACCCACAGAGCAGGTCTGGCTATCTCAGGAAGCATTTGAACTTTTTTTTATCAACTTAGGGACAAAACAGTTTTACAACTGGCTGGTTCACTCGACTCACAACTATTTATCTAGAACGAAGGTCACTCTTCAGTCCCCTTTGTGCTAAGTTCAGCTTTCTTTGTAACATCTATGGTCAGTCACTCCAACTCTGTATGCTCTTCCCTGACCTGTCTTGGTGGAACAGACTTCTTGCTGAAGCAGAATTCCCATAGAGCTGGATAGGAAGTTGATTTATTCCTCTACTACAAAACAAAAGTATCTTTTTTTACAGAACATGGTACATTTTTATTTGCTAAGCAGATTATTCTTCTTCTGTCCTTCTGCAGGTGTATGTTTCTCCTCTTACCTCCCACCTTTGTTTAAAGAAAGAAAAAATGTGGTATTTATGTGTAAACTGGGTGAACACCAGTTCAAGGCAGTTGGATGCTGGCGTGCTGTGACTTACTCCTTCCATTTTAAGCCATTCTCTAGTAATAGAGCAGCTTTTCTAGAAACTATCTTCTCAGCAGTGATACCAATTAATTATATGGGATTAAATTTGCTCTTGGTTCCTGTACTTGTCAAAGTAGTACCTAATAGCATGCTGCATGGTGAATCACCTTTAACAAAGAGCATTGCTCATTGCCAATTTAAGGGAAAAGGAGAAACAGCTGTAAACTTTTCAAAAATATATTGTAACCAGGCACTACTATAGCTTTTAATGAGTTAATTTAATGCCAAGAGACTCTGGAAGAGGTGACTTTTCAGTCTGAGCTGGAGAAAAAATGTCTTTTTTTACTTCCTGAGTTTGTGTGAATTTGTTACCGAGGAACTAACCTAGCAGGTGTCTGCATAACTGTTTTCATCCAAGGAGCTTGGAAACTTTGTTGTTGCTGTTGTTGTTGTTGTTGTGTAACTTTAAATGCATATTATCAATTTACCATAATCCAGAGATCAAACTTTGAAGTTAAACTAATAGGTAATTTTATCACTGGAATTGCAAACTAATACAGACTAAAAATACATTATAAATCCTTAGCAGTACTCTTAATTAAACATTGGAAGAAATTACCTTGAGGTATGGGCATCTCCCACTGCTTAAAGCTTCCTGTCCTTCAAAGAGTTGTGATTCAGAAATTGCTTGTTGAGACTAGGCCATACTGCTTCTTTCTTCTCACAGGTCTACTCATCAGTTTTGCTTAATTATGTTAGATGCTCCAAGCTCTGAAATAGGTATTGCTGCCACTTAGCAGGTGGAACTTCTGCAAGACAAAATTATCCCTCTAGAAAGTGCTCTTGGGCAGAGTCCAGAAGAGATTCACAGTTCAATTTTCACAGCTTTGCTTAAATCCCATAATATATGAAATAGTAACTGATTTTCGGTTTTAGATAATGTATGTGGTGTGCTATCTACAAGTAGAAAATCTGGTAAGACTCTTATCTCTTGGCTCTGTATGAATGCTGCCATGGTGATGGCTGGTGCAGGCGGAACAAGAATTTGGAGAGTTGGTAAAGAAAGCTAGTGTTCCAAATATGAACTTACACTTGATATTTTCTTGCAGACTTCAAATAGTGTTATAAAACAAGAATATTAAAAATGTTAGTAAACAACACTAATTCATGCGTGGTTGGGCTGTTTTCCAGGGAGCAATTCAATTTTAATTGTTTCTGTTGTTTTTAAAGGAAGCAATGGAGAAGCCAATTAATCATCGATTGTTTGTGACAAGAATTTTTCAGGAATTTGAAAGTGACACATTTTTCCCAGAAATCAACTACAAAGACTTCAGACTTCTCACACAGTAAGTATCGAGATGCATACTAGTCTTCAGGTGTGTTCTACTGTTCAGATGGAAGACTTAATAAACTAATTTAAATGTGTAAAGGTCCTATGAAGGCCATGTTCTGTTTTGAGTTAGAGGTGCTTGTCACTCTGTTTTTTCCCCAAAGCCATATTTTACTTTACTTTGACCTGGATTGCACCACACTCATTGCAGCACAGAGAGGTCATTGGAACTTGCTGTGTTCTTCAGCCTTCCTATAATATTTACAGTAAAGAACTGCATTTGTCATTTTACTTGAAAAATAGCTTTCTTGTTGTTTCTCACTTTAGAATTGCTCAAATATTTACTAAGCTTCAGAACTCTCAGTATTTTGTTAGGCAGTGATATTTAGCCTCTGAATGTCTTTGGTAAATTGCCAAGGACAAATTAAATGGGTTTGAGCAGGGATGTTTGAGCCTTTATAGGCTCTTCCTAAGGTTATTCCTTCCTCTTGAGAAAATTATTTCTTCCTAACAAACTTAGTAGTAACAAATATTAAACTGTAAGTTTCTGTCTTTCACTGTGGTTTCATCTCTGTTATCCTTGCCATATTCCAGTCATTTTTTTTAATCTCCTCTCCAATGAGATTACATCTAACAGGAGGCAGGGAGGTGGCAAAAATTAAAGTGTCTCCCTGAAGAACCAGGAAGGAAAGGACCTCTTCTCTTCTTGCTGCTCCCATTTTAGTTCCCAGCTGGTTACAAACCAGCAGTGGAAGAAATAGAAAGTATGGCAAGTCAAGGTCTCTGCATGGGGCACAGGAATGGATTAACACTGAAGTGGGGGAGAATAGGTAGGGGCAGGAAAGGATGCAGGAGAGACAAACAAGGTGAGTGGAGAGGGCAAGTCACCTTTTTCAACTAATATGATCTGAACTGTGCTGTGCAGTATCACAAGCCTACTTCAGTATCCTGATGTCTAACCCAAAGCTCCTCTCTCTCCCTCTTTGCTGTTTGGTTTTGGCCAGTGTACTGAAATGAGAATTTGGTCTTAAAACATGAATTTATAAAATAGCAGATAGTTCCCCCACTAAAGTGGAAACCTGGTAGAGTCAAACTTAGCAAATAAATTTTAAGATTTCCTTCTCCCTCAAAGTCACCACTACTCATACAAAATCCTTATTCTGTCACAGGGAGCTGAAGAAATTTTTGTAGTGTCTACTAATAAAAACTGTTTTAGTAAATCTGGAATACAGAGCAACACTTTGTATGGTAGCAGTCAGCTGCTTCTAGAAGCTCTCATAGACTTGTGAGAAACCTTTACCACAGCATTTCCTCTAAACCATCTGAGGAAAAGCAAAGCAAAAAAAACCCTAAAAGTGTTCTTGTAACTTTGCAGACATCTTAAATTACATGTTGGAGGCTTTAATAAAAATGTTGGGGTTTTTTGATTAAGCCAGAAAGGTGGAGCTTTTTTTGTGTCAGAGTATGCTTTCTTGATTTAAAAAGATATGCATACAAGTTGCTGATAGTAGTTAACGTGACTCCTAAAAATAGTTTGTACTTAGTATACGTGTTGTAAGGGTGGTATTTTCATCTCCTTTTTCAAACAACTGTCTTTTCAAATTGATTGGATAAATTACAGGTAACTCATAATGCAATTTTTACCTACTTGTTGGCTTTTGCTTTTTTTTCTCCCCTCTCCAGGTACCCAGGTGTCCCTGCTGGTATCCAAGAAGAGAATGGTATTCAGTACAAATTTGAAGTGTATGAAAAAACAGTCACGGCACAATAAATGAGGCTTTTTGTACTTCTCTGTAAGAGCAGGCTTTTTACATCATGAGATCTTACTGAGTGCAAATGTATATTAAATTACTGAGAGAAAATCCTGCCTAATAGTATAATACCTCAGTAGTGAATGATTCCAGAAAACACACCCCACACTCTGAATGTACACCCTGCAGTTGAAATGTGACCATGGTCAGCAGCATGAAAGAGGTAGCTCTAAGGAGTATTGCAACAAAGGTTGCATGAGACTTTGTACTGACCTTTACAATTGTTGCGACCCAGCTGGTAGAACCACCCTGGGTGGGATGAGTGGGGTTCGTGGAGGTTCTATATATACATTCCGTTGGGGCAAATTAAGGTGAGACAGCACCAAAGAATTGCATACTGGCTTATAACTTTAATGCATATAATTGTTTAGGGAAAAGGGAAAATGTGGGGTATACAACAGAGTCAAGGGAAAAGGAAAATCACTTGGTAAAGACAATCCATGACAACACTACCAACCGCCAATAACACCAAATCTTACAGCGATGTGATAACGACAGCATAATCTCCAACAATACTAAGAAACCCGCAGCCGCTCACAACACTTGCAATCACTTTTCAGTATTAAAATAAACAACCTACAGAAAACCTGCTAAACAAGCCCCAAAAGGAGCTGGCATAAAACTTACAAGGTGTTGCCATATGTGCCAGAGAGAGAGATCAAGGGATACTTGAAGAGAAAAAGGGAGGAAAAAGAGAAAGAAAAAGAGAGAAAAGTTTTCACCACTCTTTGGATCCTTGGAGAAAAGCGTTGACATCTTGGTGGGGGGCGAGGGTTGCTTGATCAGTCTGTCTGCATCTCAGGAGTCCTCAGGTGGTGGGCGCAAGCAGGCTCCTTCTCTTTGTTTATTCGCCTTTTATAGGCAGAGGCAGGGCCTTACTCAGCACGGGTTTGCTACTTTGTTGTAAGAGCAAGACTGAGTCCATTGTTAGACTCAGCAGGAGTTTGATGTCTATCCTTGATGGCCTTACTCAGCAGGGGTTTGCCAGTCCATGGAGTAAGGCCTTCAGCGCATTCCCCACCATCTTATCTACAACTGGACATCAGGAGGCTTCGATTGAGTCCATTGTTAGTAAGGCCTTTGGTGCATTCCTCGCCATCTTCTTATCTACAACTGGAATGTTTTGAGACACCACGAGCCTGGACAGTCAATCTGCAGTCTGCAAAACTGCACGAATAGTCCTCCACAACAATACACAGCAGCATCCCTAATAATTCCTTGAGTGATGAAAGGCATGAGGCGGCATCAGAACCCATCTACCTAAACAAACATTTTGAGTATCTCCTAACTCAAAACATCTAGCATTGAGAAAGCGTCAAAAGTCCAGGGTTTGACTGGGATGGTATATATAGTTATAACAATCTTTAAAACATACTGGTGTAGAGGAAAAGGTAATCAAGTTTGAAAGCATAATGAGAGAAATGGAGCCAGGAAGTCTCAGGCAGCAGTTCAGGGATACATTGATCTTTCATGGAAGTCCTCTCTTGTCTTAACCATCCTGGGTACACAGCCTACTTCAAGCCTTTTGGCTGAAAGCACTAATTTACAAATTAATCTGATAAAGGAGTTTTAACATTTACGTTAACTTCACACCCATGTAAAGGCGTGCTGCTCTTATAAAGAGTTGCTATGTCAGTTTTACTACTGCCACTTTGCAGTATAAGAATATAAACATTGCTTTCTTAACAGAATCTGTGATCTTATGTGTCTTCTAAATGTTATCAATGCAGATACAGAGTGTTAATTTGTTGGTGTGATTTTGAATATTCTATGTCATACAAATATGGATTATAAGCAGATACTGTGGTCCTGTTTACTCTTCCATTAAATAGAGATAGTATAATAATGTTTTGCATTATGTTCCCTAAAAGTAGGGAGCAATAAACTGATACTATAGTAATACTGTGATTCTAATGGCATACAATGCCAAGTGTTGACCAAAGTTTGTTACTGACAATATTACCACAGTAATATTAGCCTGTTGGTATGTTCTGACTGTGGGGGGTTTGTCAGACAGCAGAGGACTCCATATACCAAGTGTCACAGGAAGGAACTAGGGTATACCGTGCCATCTGTGCTTCCTTGTGCTGCAACTGCCATTCTGCGGGCGATAGCGTACAAGGAGCGAGCACTGCCTCCCTTTCATTGCAGATCAGTCTGAGACCAGACTAGTTAAAAAAAAAGGCTAACTCTCAAAACTGATGACTTTCCCCAAAGCATTTTAAAAGTATTGTTTTATGAAGCAGTATTGTGGGAGATTGAAGTAATAATGCTTGTCCTTCAATGTCACAGTGAGGCATGATTCTAATGTCAGTGAGGGCAGCACTGGCCATCGGCAGGCTTACGCATCTGATAACTGTAGTGAGGAGAGTAACAGCACCTGGTTTTCTAAGAAGGTTAAACCTTGATTTTGCTTGCTTTTGAAAAACCAAAACCAAACCTCTTTGATAAAAGAAAAACACTGAGAATATCAGCTGTGACCACTTCTTGGATTTTCTATGGCAATTTTACCGGATTTAAGTGATGAAAAAGATAATTTTTGCAGTATCTGTTCTGGGTTGTCTCAGTTTTCTCTGTATTCATTTTACATTTCTAAGAATGCAAGTACTTTCCCATGTTCATCTTCTTGCTCCATGTGTGCCGACTTTACGTCAGTTGATAAAGATTAAAATAACGAAGTGATATGCTTGTGTGATACAGCAAAAAGTCTCCTGAGTTTTAATTTGACAACACATTGTGAAAGGGAAGGAAAAAGACTTTTACCATGGGGATGTTATTTTTTTTTAAATATAAGTCACAGTGACCCTGACAAGAGAAAGTAATCTCCCAAAAGCATTTAATATGTGACAGTTAATGTCAAAGAACAGGTTACTGTTGAAAGCTCTGCACAGCTAGTCTGCAAAATACTGTGTTTATGGCAACTGACATTTATTAAAACTGGAAGCAAAGATTTCATGCGATGTTGGGTTACATTGTGATACTGATGTGAACATGTGTGTTAGAAAATTTTTGCCTAAGCATGCATTGCGGGATTTATGATTCACTGAGCAAAAACTTTTTGTAGAACCAGTTTGGGTGCAAAGAACTTTAGCCTGGGTGCAAGCACACCTACTGGGAACAGAAATAGTTACCTCTCACTCTTTGTGGACTGACTTAGTCCTCTCCAGATTTAACTAACTATGTTCATTTGTCAAATTCTACAACAAATTAAGTCAATTTATGATTCATGGAAATTAGAGCTTTTGAAATAACACAGCAGTTTCCTACTTAAAACTTTTCAGAACGTATTAATGATGGAGTTTCTTCAGTATGCTGCTCTGCCAAAAAGATGCATTTTTGGTTTTTTGGGTTTTGTACTAATAAAAGCGCTGCATTTGGACAGTACTTTTTGCATCAGAGCTTTTCGATATGCCATGCAGATTCCAGTCAAGAATTAGGAAAATCCATTTGGTTGCAGTCAAGTTGGGTCCAAAAGAAGTGTGTACATCCTAATGACAGACATACCAACCACTGCAAGGTTAGAGGGTTGCTGTTTCAAGAAGATGGGTAAGCAGAAGGGTGTAAGTCTGTGTGTTTAGGAAGCACATGCAAAGACTGTTTCCTGACAAGCGTGTTATTTCCAGAGGATGGTTACTTGCACAATTTTTTGTCTGTGACCTTTTAAAGATGCCTCAGATTGTTTATCCAAAAACAGGCAAGAAAAATGGTTGCTCTCTTCTTCTAAAGGCCAGAGTTACCAGCTGGAATTCGTGTGGGGCCTTTTTCAAAAGCAATGCTTTTGAGAGGTGACAGGTTGGTCAAAAAAACAACAAACAAAATAAGTGTTTGCTGTTCACATAAAGTGGGCATGGGACCTGTTACCTCCCCATTTGTATTTCCAAAGGTAAATATTAATATTTTATGCTGTGGTTTGAAGAAAAATCCTTTGTTCCAAATACAACTTGCCCACATTTTGTTTACTCCCGTGCCTCACTGATGTATGATTCTGTGAAAAGCCATAGATTCTCGTTATGTCTAGTACAGGGGGAAATGTCATGTTTTTCCCCAGTTCCATGCAGCTAAGTGCAATGAATAGCATCATGAGTGACAGCATAATTACCAATCACCAGGAAAAGTGTAGTACAGATATAATTTATTCCCCCTCATTCATGCTTTCCCAGGAACAAAGTGTTCTGAGTAGATTACAAATTTAATTTTTAAGGATAACGCTAGTTTTAACAAGCTAGCTAAAACCAGAGGGTCTGCATAAGAGGTGAAAAACAAACCATTAATGTTTCTGTTGTTTGTCCGTTACTTGTTATCTCTCTCACCTCACAGTGGACAGCAATTTCCATTTGGCAGTAAAAAGCTGATGTTTTCCGTAGCTCACCAATAGCGTTACGGCCACAGTGTATTCAAGGACAAGACTGGGAACATTCCAGCAACAAATCTCTGTCATGGAGAGCAATCCATGGAGAAGAAAGGTACACGCCAAATAATACGAGTTTCCTAATTTAGCAAACAGAATATTATTAGTATATATACAGAACACCAGGGGAAAAACAGGAAGGGGGAAATGAGAGTGATTAGCTTATGCATGTTATCTAAGGAGAACATCAGGAGCACTTGACAGGAGACCTTAATTGGGACCAGGCAAACATGTTGTCTTCATCAGCCTACAGCTAATTTGCCAAAGGCTTAAACTTAAGCCCAAAATAATTCTGAGTAGTTTAAAAGCTATGCTAGCAGAAGAGGAAGATACAAGCAAGCAGCAGCTGATTTAGAGAGGGGAGAAGCTGTGGGAAGGGTTGGTTGGTAATCAGTGCAGAAAATGAGGTGACTAGGTGTGACAAATGGGGGAACAAAGCTTGGTTAAGTGTGAAACTAGGAGATACTTCCCTCATTATTTGGTTGTGTATTAACTGTCTCTGCTTGCCTAGGAGGGCTGTAGGAATGAAGCCTACCAGGTCACGGTATGCTGACCGAAAAATCACAAAAATC